TATATATATATGTGTGTGTGTATATATATATATATGTGTGTGGCTTCTTCTGGGGAAACTCCCGCCCTACCTGAACAAAATGCTCTGCTCGGCTGTTCCCACCTCCTATAACCTCTGATCCAGTACCAGCACTTTATTTAGTCTACCTCAATACAAAAAGAAAGCAGCCCGATCCTCCTTATCCTACAGAGCGCCGCAATTTTGGAACGACCTCCCGCACTCTTTAAAATCTTCCCTAAGCCTAAAGTCCTTTAAGAGATCCCTCTCTACACACCTCAAAACAGAATGCACGTGTTATGGCTGATTATATATTTCCTACCTGTTCTATGTTAAATTTTGTATATACTGTATATTAATATTGTTTTTGTATTTTATTGTACCCTAATATAACAATGCAATGATTTGTGGACCCAGGACATACTTGAAAACGAGAGAAATCTCAATGTATCTTTCCTGGTAAAATTATTTTATTAATAAATATGTGTGTGTGTGTGTGTGTGTGTGTGTGTGTGTATGTATGTGTGTGCGTGTATGTATGCGTGCGTGTAATAATTTTACATAATTAGGTAATTGTATAAATTACAATTTGCGGGACCTGCCTGACAACCCAGGCCAAAAGTCCAGGGAACTTAATTTGCTAGCACTATATTTAACCCTGTAACTTTCCAAGACACCATAAAACCTGTACATGATGGGTACTGTTTTACTCGGAAGACTTTGCTGAACACAAATATTAGTATTTCAAAATACACAATGTGAAAAAACTGAAAAATGTGACATGCTATATTTGACCCTGTAACTTCCTAAAACACCATAACTCCTGTACATAGGGGTACTGTTTTACATTTGAGACATGGCTGAATACAGATATGTGTATTTTATTGCAGTAAAAGCAAACCGTACTATGACATTCACAGTTAGAATGTCACGTAGAACCAAAAAAAAAAAAAATGTATTTTCTCCTTTTGTAATATTTTATTCATATTAAATTGTTTCATACCTAAATATTTTTTTGTTAAATGAAAGCCGTTTCCCCTGAATAAAATGATATATAATAAGTGTGGGTGCACATAATATGAAAGAGGTGAATTACGCTTGAGCAGACATATAGCGCAAATTCAAGTTTTTCTTTAAGTTTTGTTTTGATCACAACGTGTACATTTGGCTCAGTCCTTAAGGTGTTAAAATACATATGTGTTTCTTGCCCTGTGCTCTAGCCGCATGTTTAGTGCGCCCTCAGTTCTAAAGTATTTGACCTTTTCTATAACATGTTTTATTATATAGTCAAAGTTGTATTTGTAGAGCTTACACTTTGTTTAGATGGTGGACCTGTAAATTGCAATTTCAGCAGTGGTAATTGTATCTCATACTTAGTGATGTTGATGAATAATCCTAAACTAAGATTGTGAAAAAGGAAAAAAGTTAAGAATGCATTACAAATTCTGATTAAAATCTGAAGATAAGTGTGTGTTTATATACACACACACACTAATGCTTTTTTTTTTTTTTTATGTCTACTTCTTTCCTCCTTAGGCCTTTTTTGATGCTCATCCAGCTCCATCGGCAGAGCGTACTGTGCAGCAGTGCTGCGAGAACATCCTTCTCAACTCTGCCTGGCTGAAACGTGATGCAGATGCCATAAACCAATATCTACTGTTGCGCAATGCTCCCTCTTCCACAGTGTGATTGTGCACAGCTGTCCCCCACCTGCTGTCTCACCACCCTGAAAGGCTAGACCTTAGGTCTCCAGTAAAGGAGGCTATGTACCCATTCTTCCTAATTCCCTAACCCAACCCACTGCACCCACTGGGGAGCAGGTACAACAAAAGAAAGTGGGGCCCGCGTCTTATCAGTTCCTAACATCTCCAGTCAGCTCTTTAGGGATTTTATTCCATTGCTAAGCTGATGTGTACATATGATTTATAGCTGTAGCATACAGCTGCAAACTGAATCTCCTCAGCTGCAGGAACTCCTGAGAGTACCCCAGGGGCTGTACTGGCTATTGGTTCCTGTGAGGCCAAGGTACCAGAGCAGAGGGTTATTCATAGATAAGGGGGCAGTAACAAGACAGTTCCTTTGTATGTTATTTAGCCATGTAAGTGGATGGCTGAGTTGAGCCAGAATATTCTTATTCTTCTGTTTTTCCCACCATTAGAATACTGTAACCATTTGTTGCCTGTTGTTTTGGGAGTTTAACCCCTTGTTCTGGAATAATTTTAACTTAAACGCAACACAAGTTTGCACGTATGTGTACTCATTTAACCTTCCTTCCCTCGTTACTATGTATCTTTAAATGGCCTGATCTAGAGCCCCATCATTACTGAAAAGGCTTGTTATTTGAAGTCTGTCTAGTTCTGAAAGGCTAACTTTTACTGTAGATCACGCCTCTTCAACACAGTCAAGAAGAGAAATGTTGAAACTGTTCTGCTGTATTAAAGTTCCCTTCCCGTCAACCCTAGTTCGAGATTAATTTCTAGGTTAGCCAGATTCTGGGTTTGTGCAGTCTAATGGCATAGTGGGAGGGCCCGTTGCCCTAGGTAAGCAGACTTGCTCATCAGAGTCTTCTTTTGTGCTATTATTTTAAGAAAATGAAAAGAAAGAAATATACAACTTGAAAAAATTAATTGGGAAAAAACAAACCAGTTGGCGTTAATAAAAACCAATGTGAGTGTGTAACATAATTGTGGTCTTGTCTTTGTTCAGGAAAGTCATACAACTGTCTGTAATGTGAAGATAAGGAATAAGCAATGTTTGGCACTCTAGATGCTTTCACAGCATAATGGATGCAAGGTTATTATGGGAGATGCAGTCCACAATATCTAGAGTGCCAGAATGTTCCTACCCAATGTCTAGAGATGAACAATCCATTTTTCCTTAATCTTGATGTTGCTTTGGGAGCAGCTATATGGTTTATAATGCACTGATAAAATACATTTGTAGGGTTAGGAAGTCAAACACATTCTTGACCATATAGTGTTAAAAACACTATTTAGAACCCCTTTACCCCCCTTAATATAGTTACCTTTATTCCAGTCTGCCGGTGCTAGCTCTGCCGCCTGAGCTGTGATGATCTCAGCCAGTCACAATGCTTTAAAAATTACAAAGTATCCTTTTCAACAGAGGCCATTAGGACCTTCTTGCGGTGGAGTGACTGTATCAACTCAGACTGTTTCACACCAAAAGCGCTGTTGCGCTGTTTGATCCGGTGAGGTCGAGTAGAGTGTCGCTTCCGAGGCTTGCAGAGGAGAGGGGACACCATCCGCTCATCCTTTAGGCCTTCGCTTTGGTATCAGACCCACTGCGTGCTTTGCTGGCCCGACTTCCCGCGCATCACCTTTGTCTTGTGGTCGCTGGAGTATGTCAGCGGGTATCTGCTCATGTGTGGCACTGTGCCATCTGTTGGCCAACTTGGCCCAGAAAGCCTCAAAGATGCGATCAAGCTCAGACATGCTGTGTGATCATATGGTAGTTTTAGATGCATAATCTTGACACATCATGGCAATCTGTTTTACAACTGAGCATACAACTGGTTACTCACAGAATCAGTAGCTTTGTGTCCAACTCTTTTATCCGGGCACCTCATCTTGAGTATCCCAGTGGTAGAACTAATGTAGAGGACCCTGGTGCAAGTACATGAGTACAGAGATTTATCCCCAGAAAGTAACATGGGTGAGGCTTAAAGGTGGTACTGTCCCTTCTGGCGTCTGTGTGAAGCTACCTCAAGGCCCAAATTAGTAGATTACAGCAGAGCCCTGCACATGGACAGACCTGTGGGATCTGTCCTGCCATCTCAGATAAATTTTGGTCATACCATCAATATGACTCCACAAGGCTCCCCATCCTCTTTATATACATATAGAACCTCCCCTTGAAACATCTCTATTTCCCCTCACTCCTGCAAACGTATATTTCTCCTTTCTTCTTCTCCCTTTTCAAATCCCACCCTCCCCCCCTTTTTTTCTTCTTTTGCTATCTCGACCCTCTTCCCTGGTCATTCCTTATGTCTTCACTCATGCTCCCCTGCATGTAACACACAATGCACATGCCTTTAACCAACTGGAGTGCAGATCCAGGTAGCTCTGAAGCAATGGTTAGAGCTTGTTTTTATGACACCACTCCTCCAGGATGTCAAGGTAAGTATGAACACCCTGCATGCAGTTCTTAAACCTATGCCTGCAAACATTTACAAAGGATAGTAGCATATTTCTTGATCTTAGAATAGCCATGCTTATCGCAATGCCTTTAGCAGGTGAAAGTCAAGGAAAACAAGAAGGGTTCAGGGATTCCAGAAAACAGAGTATCCACATGGTAAGCTCAGTCAAGGAGTAGAGATGTTAGACAAGCCAAGCCAAGCTAGATAAGTCAGAAACACTGGTCAAGTTGTCTGAGCGTATGTAACTGCTGTGTTGCTCTTTTGGGGAAGCATGGGCACCAGGTAAGTGGAGTAGTGCAAAGGTATGTATCTTTACACAGGATATTAATTTACACAGAGATGTGGCTCCTTCTATGGAAACGGACACTTACCATAATGGTATTTTACCTTTAACCCAAAGGCCTCTCTACTGTATCCCCTATTTGTGGTTGAATGAGACAGTCGTGCTAGATAGTTGCAAAGGCTAATGTGGCACAGGAATGTTGTTTTGCACCAAATAAAACACCTTACAATCCACAAAGGAAACACCAGCTATCTTGTGATTGTGTGAGGGGCTATGCATGGGTGCCCCCAACCCTATATCAAATCCACAAAGTCTAATGGATTAGGTTCTGTGGTGGGCTGCAGCCATGCTAATGCCGGCAGCAGTGTTGGGCTAGCCACTCTCACCAGGGACAGCTATACTTCAGTGAGGTCCGTATGTGTCACTGCTGAATTTGCAGCAAATGTGCAGTAGTGTTGGAAATCCGGGAAGGCCAAAACACCCTGTGTTTAAGATGAGCGTGGAGTACCTTCCTCAGGTCTATTATGTCTCAAGCGTGAGTGTGTCTATAACTGCTGTATCAGATACTTGTTATACATCTATACTTATCAGTGGTATGTGATTCCTCTGACAGAACTAAGAAATGTCTGTTGTCTTCTACAACCCCAGGTATTTAATTTAATCTCCACACAATTTGCTTTGCTAGGGCCCTATTTTCCCTCTCTGGAACGGTGAGGTTCAAGACTTCATTCACCCATACCTTTGCTGAAGGCATACTGTATAGGGTCAGGCATAAATTCTCACCAAATTGAATATATTGAAATGTCTGTGTTTAACATTGATTACCTCCACCATGGAATTCAGGGTCCCAGTCCAGTGAGGCATCAGGAGTTATAATACCAAAGCATAAATCCATCCAGTGGCCATTTCCTCTTCAGTCTGGGAGGAGGCCCATGCCTCTGTCATTTCCACAGATAAGGTGTCAGAGTCATTGCCTTGTAAATAGCTACGTATGTAGTCAAGTTGCTCCTGTAGCGAGATTCCCTTATCTAAATTATAGTGTAGTATAGATTGCTTTCTGCTTGACTCTAAGCAAGTGCACCACAGTCTGCCATATTTATTTTTATTCACGTAAAAGGAACCCCTGGAGTGTTTGAGAGAACGGTCGTATCTGTGTGAGAGGACCATAGATAATACCTCGTAGGTAGCTTTCATTTGCGCCCATTTATGTTATTGTTCCAGTTCCTCTAATATCTTGCAGAGGTCAAATATTTGGTCGACCCCTGTTTAATACACTGGCTCCGGATGACACTCTTGTGCACCTACCAAAGTGTGAGAGAAGATTAATTCTCTGTAAAGTAGAGTCATAAACCCTGAGTTATATGAGTGTCAACTCCAAGGTTATCTAAGAAAATTTCATTTAGTTTTCATGACCACTCTCACGATTGAAAACGTTGCAAGGCTATCTCAATCTGCATTGAATTATGTTCTGACCATGTCATCGCCTCAATCCAAAGCTGAGAGAAGGCCTGCTGCATGAATACATAGTCTGTTCTCCAATAGTGGTTATGGAGAACAGAAAGCAGAAAAAAAAATAGAGAGCGGAAAAGGAAGGGAGAGACCACCCTATGGTAAACTATGTACATGAAGTAAGGAAAAAGTTATCTGTGGACCAGTCAGGGGAGGCGAGTCCAACTCTCCTAGCCCACCTGTTACGCTACAGCAGGGGTTCTCAACCCAGTCCTCAGGACCCCCTACCAGTCCAGGATTTGGGGATTACCTGGGTGTGTCTCAGTCGATGGTGTGGAACCACTACCTGGAGCACAACATGTCCGCTTGGGAATAAGAGGCCCCTAAAAGGAAAAACTGAGCATCCCACAAACTACAAACACAGTCCCCTCCCCAACACTGTCAGAAAGAAGGGATATTGTTCCAGGGTGTGCCTCAAATCTGCAGCTGTGGGACATCCAGTTGCCATTTAGCTGCATACTTGTGGTGGTCAGCTCCCTGCTGTGGT